AGTTAATTTAGTCTGTCTTTCAGTAAATCCTTCCTATATAGTATTTAAGTGTCGCGGAGATCCTAATGGGTTACCAGGGCTCCGGCACGAAGCGCAGGAGAAGGAAAGGGGTGGTTTTTAGTCAGTAAGAGTCTGACACTCCCTCCCGCCTCACCCAAGCGGGAGCAGCCATTCGATGATTTCCATCCTTAAAAAAAAAAATTGAGTAAAAACTTTTAACTTACCGTAAACTCTTCTTTGGAACCTCTATGATTGACTTTGTAAATATGCCTCAGTACTTCTAAAGCCTCATCGCTTCTGCCAGAATTGAAGAGGAACTTGGGAGATTCGCAGAAGAAGTAGATGGCTGCTGCTCCTATCCCTGATGGGAGAGCTAGGACTACGATGAGCAGCCTCCAGGGTTTGTAGACGATGTTAAACCAGGTCAATTCCACTGCGAAGTCTAATTTCAAGGTTGGGTAGGTCAAAACTGGAAAGGAAGAAGTCGGTGAATTATTTTCTAATATTTTAACATCACGGGTTTTTATCCCCGAAGGGATAGGCAGAGGTGCACATTACGGCACTTAATGCCACTGTATGTAACACCCACTTGTTCACTATTTATGTTATGAGTCCCATGTAATCGGAAGTGAGCCTTTTGTGATATACCGGGCACAATTATAGACTCTGTGCTACTACTAAGATTAAAAAAAAAACAGTAATACTTTGCCCGACTCGGGAATCGAACCCGAGACCCCTTACCCGGCAGTGTCTTTTTCTGAAGAGTTTCTAATATCTTTTGCTTATAAATAGGTATATTGGTGTGCTATATTCTTATGTTTTAGTCCACGATATGAAGAATATTTACATGGAATGAATATTGAACACTATTAAAACGAAATGCCTGTATTTTCTTTTCGAACTATAGCGAATATAGTCTTTAAAATACTTACTGCCGGCCACAGCAGGAGACAATAGAATCAGGCAGGTCATGAGCAGCATGTAGCGGTTCCTCACCCTCTGTATACAGGACTCTCCTACCAGGGTATAAGTCGCAGAATTAGCTGCACATGCACTGAAAAACATACATGCTTCATATGTAGTACCCGTCTGACAATTGAGTAAAAATCAGACTTTATAAACGCCAAAATTGAAAAGACAATTACGAAAAAAACTTCAGTGCAGCACTGCTTCATATTGAAGCATTTCCAAATTAATAGAATATTGCTCGGTGTTGTCTCTGAAGTTATTAAAACCCCAGTTGCGCTGGCTACCATAATAATATGTCGAGACTCGAGACAGTCCAATAAAGACTAATGAAGTGGTGTTCATTTGATCCACCATCTCAACAATCTTGCATACAAAACAACTAAAAATAGTCCATCAAAAACATTTCCACTCTCCGTTTTCCAGAACCTTCTCTCCAATAGGCAGCTGACATTATTATTAATGGCGAAATATGGCACTACGGGACAAATACCTCGACAGGCCGCTCGTCACAATTAATCGGGTCAAATTAATAAATTCCATGCATTGCGGGAAATCACAACAACATTGATTGTTTATGATACTTCTTAAGAAATGTAAGAGTATTTTCTTATCTTATACCAACTTAATTGTTGAATGAATTCGGTTTAAAAATGATAATTACTAGAAACTTGAGCATTACGGTAAGCTTCTCCTTTGATTTCGATAAACTAAGTGTGATGTTCTTTTAGAGTTACCATACAGTATTAGCACACTATTTGTTGTTTAATACCTATAAACAATTTAGTACTTCAGCTATAAATTTTGAAATAAACAGCTTTATTCGGTTTATTTTTACGGTATTAGACTTTACAACTACAATATCCAGAAGAAGTCAAGCCATTTTTAAGCTGTAATAACAAGATAATAATGAAACCATTATAAAAACAAAGAATTAATAAGTATTGAACCAACTTACAAGCAAACACAAAGAAACTTGACGAGTCCTAAGAACAGCCAGTGTGGAGCGAGGCTGCTGATGCAGGACAGGATGAAGGACAGCAGCAGAGGGATGACGAGGGTGAACCTCCGTCCCCTGGTGTCGGAGACATAGCCCCATAGGTAGGAGACTAGGAGGATACCTGGAAAGACGAAAAATATCTTGAAAATATATATAGACATGCATAACCTCACGCCTGTCTCCAATGGTGGTAGGCAGAGACTATGGAACGATTCGAATTGCTACGATTCTTATATACCTCTTTCGCTGCATCAAAAGTCATCAGTCTTTTCATACATGCTAGTCGGTTAAGGGTACTATTTGGTGCTTTAGTATGTATTTCGCCAATTTAGTTGATATATATTTGTCTAAGGCGTCCTCTACCGACGCTTATTAACAATGATCTTGAAAATTAGCACGCCTATTTCAGAATATGTTAAGAAAATTAGACATATTTATCGTAATTAATAGATTCATTTTGCCCCCCATGACCATGTTAATGTAATCACTTTGGAGTAATACTAAAGCATACGCTCTATAGTTCTTGTTAATTCTTAAGATTGAACAGCTTGTCTCTCCAATTTAATTATCCAAAGTTATGGATAAAATAAATATTTAATTATAATTAATGATCGTTTTATGATATACCTAACACATGATGCAAAAGCCAGACGCATCTGCATCATTACATTTACTCTTTATGCAAATTTTTTTTACAAATGTTTCTGTAGTAACGAGACGATCTAGTATTTAAGTTTTGCCACTGACTTAAATTCCAGCTCACACAAATAAGTGATTGTAAAATGTACGACATAGTAATAAATCTTAGAATAATTAATTGCATTTAAACTGTCAAACACCGCTAGGACACCGGTGACCGCAGCCTATTGTTCTTTAAACTGTCAAACACCAAGCGGTCACCGGTGACCGCAACCTATTGTTCTATAATTGTGTCTACAAAACCGGTACTCGACGAGTTAATTGTGTCTTTAATGACGGTACTCAAAGAGGCTTTAATAGAAACAAAATCAATAAATTTTTATAACTTACCAATAAAAGGTAAAGATGTGAGGATCCCTTTCTGCACGACGGTCAACTGAAGATCACAGGCTGCTGCCACCACCAGGCTAAATCCGAACAGGTCTATCCCGATGGCAAGAAGTATGAGGGAGCAGGTCATCACGAGAAGGACATTGTACAGGCCGTTACCTAAAAAAGAAGCAAAAAAAAGGTAAAAGACAGATGGGCACGTGTTAAATCCTGTATCTTGTACTAATCGCGATTTGAAAACATCGGAATAGTTTCAAAAAATTTATGTTAGAGTTTTGAGAAGAGTGCCTTTAGCCAAACGCCACTTTAACGCTTGTCTATAGAGAGAGTAGAAATCAACATGTATGGGGATGACACTGACAAGTGTCAAAATTTACGTCAATTCCATATAATTTGGTTTTCTATTCTACATGTAGACAAGTACTAAATGGCAATGGGGATGATGACAGGGTATGAAAATTAAAAATATAATTAGTCCGTAACTTAGGTAATAAAAAAATATTAGACACGTATTTTTTTATTTTGTTGTATAATAAAACAATACTTAGATAAAACGAATCAAAGTTTAGGAGTGGGGGCTAAAACGTCATTTCTTAGTATAAAATGTACTGAGAAGTGACGTCACGCGACATTTCAAATCAATATATCTTCGAAACTATTCGTTTCCGTAAGAAAATAAAAAATACGTGTCTAATGTTTTTAAATAATCTACCAGACGAACATTAAAATAAAAATTAGTCGTCTACCCCATTGGCTACAGCTGCAGATATAATTTCATAATAAAAAATCCTAGAAATATTTGCCAGTCCCAGAAGTCAAACACGAAACCCTATGCAAGTTCAGTGGATACACTTGTAATAGTTATATCAACCACAACCACACATCTAAAAATGTCATGTCTCCATACATAAAATATCATGCAATGTATATGTGTGTTCTTCAGTGGCTCTGTCTCTATGTGTTCAATTGCATCATTCAATAACATCGATGGACCAGTAAATCATTCAAGATCAAGTTCAAATATTTTATTTGTGTCATCAATAACTGTTGTTTGATCAAACATCACGATCTTATTTCCCTGAAGTGGCAGTAGAATTCTACGTGTATTTTCATTTTACACGACCTAAACTTGATCCCAGATGCATTTTTAATACTAAGATATATTTTTAAAACTACCGAACCTAGGTATGCCCGAAGCGTACCAGCGGAGCATTTAACGTATTGCCGGGGCTCCAAGAGCAGAAGTAGAAACGGGGTGGTTTTCAGTCAGTAAGAGTCCGACACTCCCTCTTACCGCACACAGGTGGGAGAAGCCATTGGATAATCCCCTCCACCCCAAAAAAAAAATAAACTCGAGAAATTACAATTATAGCAAGCAACTTGAAATAGTTAGCAGCCAGTTTGGCAGTCGTATGTAATTTAAATAATGAACTAATTCAATAATGTCAGAGTTTCTTCCAAATATTTTATTAGCTGTCCATGACTAGTAGTTTTAATGTCAACATTCCTTACTTTAATGACATATTTTTCACTTAATTAAACATATTATCAAGCACTACCTACTGTAATTAGCAACAGTATGTATGCAATAAATCAAGAAACGGGCTTTTTAAAAAAAATGTAGGTACTCGAAGAAAATTTGTAACATTTTTATTGTTTGTTTACAGAATTTGTTATTGTTTATTAGCAACTATGTATTTGTAGGATCAGGGTCCGACATTATTTGAAAATAAAACAAAGAGCTTCACACAATCACTTAGTTTATTTCGATTAAATGAACTTACTTTCACATTAATTTTTAATTATAATAATTGAATAATTCAGCACTGATTATATAAAGGAAACACTCAAATAAAACCAACAATAAAATTACTCAGCGATTGCGTAACGTGTGAACTGGGCAACGATCGACGAACGACTGACTCGAGCTTGCGCTTGCGCTGCTTTATATATCACTCGGTGGTGGGGTTGAAGTGACGTCGGTCAGTTGTTTGTTCACTGCTCGCCCATTACATTCGCAGTTTACAAAATAATGACGGCGGCGCCGACAAATATGTTCATTGCTGTCAGGTTCCGTAAGGACAGTTGAAGTAAAGCAAAGCAAAGGAAAAATTGAGTCAGGATTATTTTTTTTTATATTCATAAATACATACGCGGTTTTTGTTTCTTTAGGACTGAAAGCTACTGTTATAAAAATATTTGTGATCCTCATTAGTTGTCCACAGTTCAAGGTCCCATTACTCTGACACGGGAGCTATAGGGTCGCTCCCGACCTTGACCTCAAGGGCATAACATGTCAAGGTTAATTGTTATCGATGAAATTACACAACTGTTTGAATATAAACACAAAAAATAATATGTTTATCTTGTCAAAACTATAGCAATTTGTGGTGGTATCTTAGGTGGTAGATTATAGTAAACACTAATTATAAAGCGCCCGGTAATAAGGCGATTACAAGTAAAAAACAATAGTTATCTACTATTACTACCTTTAATATTGGAGTAGGTAGCCAGTGGATGCAAGTGGCGAGTTGTCGTTCTACGTGGAGGACTAAGGGGGAGGGGGCTTTGTCTAGCAGTGGACGTCTTCCAGCTGTTGATGATTGATTGATGATTGACCTTGAATATTTCTTTCTCCCTAAACTTAAGTGCAGTGATTGCATTTGCAAACAACTTACTGAATTGACTAAAGCTAATGACTTCTCCAGTGTTTGAAGATAAAGGAAAAATATTGTTTAAAGTCCAATTAAAATAAACGACTGTCATTCAGTGGAAAACACTGACAATAAGACTTTTAATACTGAATCCTTTGTTAACTTCTAATAAAAAAACAGTCAATAATTAAACCTAATGAAGGAACTAAAGTCAAAATTGATTCTCATCAAAAAAATTAAAAAAAATCTGTATTTTTCAAAAAGTAATTGTGTAAAAAGAGGTCAGGATTTGAATAAAAGACAATACCCTTTCTTTATGCGTGTAAGTTAGGGTGTTGAACTTGGCAACTGTCCAGGGTTCGAGTCCAGGGTTAACAATGAGACTGTGTGTCTCCTCATTATTGATTTGCCCCAAAAATGTGTGAGATTATATAATTATTAGAGGTTTAACCCAAATATTTGGCTATCGTATATTATATATTATTTTGTAGATTAGAGAAAGTAATAATGTTGAATAGACTGATAGCTGTGATATACGCAACTTAATTACAAGATTTATTATTATGATTACAAACGACTACTTCCAAAAATCCAGACGGCTATTCCTACTTCTCATTAAATCACTGTCGAAAAAATACTTTGGATATATATATTTTTGTATGGAATAGGAGGCAAACAAGCCGACATATCACCTGATGGTAAGTGGACAGCGTCGCCCATGGACACCCGCAACACCAGAGGAGTCACAGGTGCGTTGCCGGCCTTTTAAAAAGATAAACTATATAAAACTTTAACTTTAATAATATGTTATGTATAATTTTCAACAATAGTAGTGTTCTTTATTATCTATATCTATATATATATATAAAAATGAAACCCGTATTCCGTTGTCACGACATAGCATGAAAATGGCTAAACCGATTTGACTGATTTATTTTTTGTTATATTTGTTATTATAAGGAGAAGGTTCTTAACTCGTCGAGTACCGTCATTATAGACACAATTATAGAACAATAGGTTGCGGTCACCGGTGACCGCTTGGTGTTTGACAGTTTAATACAGAAAAACTCCCGAAAATCAATCCTACGGGAACAGGAAAAAACAGGGATTGCGCGTACGAAGTCGCAGCTAGAAGCTAGTTTATGATAAAAATAACCCTTACAGGGTCATGTTGATTCTGCTTAACTATAATGCATTATGTATAACACCTTGTTAGTACCCACACATGAAGCGATAAAGATTTTTAATTTCAATTTGAATTTGTCCATCTTTAGTACCTACCTTTATTACCTACTTCATTCATCTAAAACCAATAAAAATTGCATCTATATGTACCCTTTGTCAAAATTCATGCATTTCATTGTTTATTAACAAAGTTTCATTTAGTAAAATGTATATCATGCTGTGTTATACTAATACATATAGTATTATAGAAACGTAAGATACTTGACCTTGTCCATATATTTTGTTCCTTATTGGCATTTTGCCATGATCGAATTGTCGTCACCATTATTTCAGCAACTATTGCTGGTTTGATTACCATCTTTTGGACGAGTGTTGATGTTTGGCAGGCAATGTACTCAGTGTTATGAAGTTCGTTCGATGTTTACGTAGATTTCAGCGGTTGATCTGAAGTTGTTTTCAGCTATCGTAAAGTGTGGCGTACTGTGGACGGGAAAAAACGTTTTGCCTAATAATTTTAATGGGTTTATTTATTTATTATTACGTTTTATAGTAATCTGTTTTATAGTTTTGATGTAATGTGATCATTAATCGAATTTTTTAAATAATTCAACAAAGACGATTATTATAAATGGATTACAAGTGACAAAAGAGAATTAGAATATTGTTGCTAATCTTGAGAGATATAATTCACATGTTCACTCAACCAGATGAAAATGCATTTCAGTCGAATAAAATACACTAAAATTATTAATTAATATATAAATTACAATAACATTACAAATTAATTAGACTTTTGAAAAATACCAAAACAAAATCTAAGAATAATACTAAAAACATTTGTGACTGCCTCGTTGGCTGAGTGGTCGCAAGTGTGACTGCCGGGCAAGGGGTCTCGGGTTCGATTCCCGAGCCAGGCAAAGTATTACTGGGTTTTTAAAAATCTCAGAAGTAGCACGGAGTCTGGACATTTGCCCGGTATATGGCAATAGGCTCACCCCCTATTACATGGGACTCATAACATAAATAGTGAAAAGTGGGTGTTACATTGTACAGTGGCATAATGTGCACCTCTGCCTACCCCTTCGGGGATAAAAGGCGTGATGTTATATTATGCTACTAAAAATATTTAATTTGGCTACCACTCTCACAAAATGAACACAAGTATCTTTCGGGATTCAACTAAAGCGTTTGTTCAGTCAACTGTGCGGTCATCCCATGCTGACTTTGAAATACACGCGCGTGTAGCTTTCAGTACTTTATAAGCAGGGAAGTGTAGTGGGTGACTCCACGAGACCATGGACACCAAATGTGACAGTGAAG